TAATTGCTATTTTTTTGTTTTTCTTTATATATATAATTGTTCTTTTTTTTTCTATATAACATAAAAATTTACAATCGTTATTAGATAAGTGCATTATGGATAAACTTTCGATCGAGCCTAATAACTTGCAAAGCGTTATATATATTGTTTTAACTTAGAGGTGAATTATATCCCTACAACCAACATGTATTGTCTCAATTACTATTTAAATTTGTCTTCATTAAATTGTCTATTTTTATTTATAGTTTATGCACTTTCATCTAATTATTAATTTATTCTTCTCTCATATATTTATTTTATTAAAATATCATCATATAATTCATTTTTTTTTATCTAACTTATAATAATTGTACAATCGGCACCCATTTTGGTTTGATCTAATTACTATAAAATATGTCTTTGTTTAATTTATATATATATATATATATATAGTATTATAGAGTATATCAAACAATTTGTTACTTTCCAAAAATAAGTATTCAATTTTTGGACATTCCTTTAATTACAAAATTAGGATGGGCTACTTAATTGGTTAGTTTAAAATAGGCTTTTTTTTTTTAATTTTAAAAAAATATATATATATATATATATAGTCAAAAGCCATTAAATCGAATGTATATTTTTATTCAGTATATTATTAAAGAATTAATTTTAAATTAAAATATTAAATTAAATATCAAAATATCACATTAGATATTATTTAAATTAAAACTTTTATAATTTTGAAGCCCCAAATCTTAATTTTGAGAACAAAAACATAGTTGGAGAAATTGTCCAATTTCATTAATGGGCCGAAAACTCTTGTTTCACATTAAATGGGCTGAGGACAGTCTAAAGAGTGTGTTTGGATTTTAAATAGTATAAAAATTTGAATTTAATAATTATATAATATAATATATGCAAAAATTAATTTAATATAATATAAAAATAATTTTTAATTTGACTACTTTAAAATATTAATAAATGATAAAATTCGGACAAAATCATCTAACCAAACACACCCTAAATATATATTTAAAGAATGAGCACGGAATAATAATTCAAAATATTTAAAATTGCTATTGAGACTTTGGGATTGTATCTAAGTGTTTTAAAATTTTGAAAATAATAAAAAATTGAATAGAAAAAATATATTTTATGTGATATAAAGAAATATTAGATGTGATATTTAAAATAAAAAATAAATATATTGGCATAATATTTTAAATAATTTTTTTAATAAAATAAATAAATAATTGATTAATACTTCATTTTATTATTTTTTTAGATAAATTGTTATCTGATTTTTAAAAAATTATAGAAATAAATGATTGATCAATTATCTATTTATTTATTTTATTCAAGAAAAAAATATAATATCTTGCGTTTTTTATTTGTATAAATCTGGCATAATTTAGGTCTTTATTTAGAACCAAACATCAGTTTTGGACAAAGGGATGTTTTGTGCAAATTTTAACACAAAGGGTTTCACGCAATAAATAAAACACAGGGTGTTTAGTGTATTTTTATTAAAACACAATGGAGTATTATATAATTTACCCCGTAATTAATAACCACCGGATCAAAATGAAATTAACAAATATAGAAATATAATTTGATTCTTGAGATATTTTGTGAGAAAAAAAAAAATATATTTTTCAAAATAGGTATAGTATAAATAGTAAGAACATGGAGTTTTAGGCCAAATAAACAGACCCATTTAAACATAATGATATTGTAATGAAAAGTATGGTAAGTAAAAAGTAAAATGACCGTATTATAAAAAACCTACCAGAGAATTGAATATGTAAGTAAAAAGTAATATTGACAAATTAATTATTATTTCTTAAAGCATGAGTAATAATTTTGTGTTAGTTTATTATAAATGAATTATATATAAATTTAACATATATATATAAAAAAAAAAAAAAAAAAAAACCCAGACATAATTGCAGTAGACGGCGAGAGTATATAACAATAATAATAATAATAATAAGTAATAATAACAAAACAGAAAAGAAAAAGACAACATAATAGAAATCGATTGCACTTAGGTTCCAAAAAAATAAATTCTTTCGGGTGTGTTTGTTTGTGGGTTTGGGGTTATGGATTTGATTATATAAATAATAAAAAGTTGAATTTAAATAGTTGTTTGAAATGATATAAATAAACGTTGATGTAATATTTTGAATATAAAATAAATTTGAAGTATAATACTCCCTCCGTCCACTTTGCAAGTTTATATTTAGGCGTCATTATATTTAACGTTAAAAATATCGTTGTATTTGTATAAATTTTTATATAAAAGTCGTTATATTTATATTACAAGACACTAATAAAAATATTTTTATCATTTTCTCTTAATTTGTACTATATTTAATATAATAATTACTCCCTCCGTCCAAATATAATAGTCACATTTACCATTTTTGTCCGTCTCAAAACAATAGTCTCATTTCCATAAATAATCATATCACTATAAAACTACTTTTACTTTTTCATTATTATCACACAATTGTCACTACTTTTTACACTAATACACTCACAAGGGCAAAAAAGTCTTTTACCCGTACTTTTTATCCACTGCCAATATAATATCAATATTCCTTAAATCTCGTGTCAAACACAACTCAAACTATAGTTTTAGAAGGGTGGGAGTATATTATATTCCCACTATCATCGAAAATTATATTCATTTGATTGAATACAAATTTTAATAAAAATATATAATAATAGTTTTTTTTTTTCCATTAAATACACAAAAGTGAATTTTTTATTATTTATTTATTTATTAGATTACAAATGCTAATTAAATTTCAATTAATACTCGTTATGTAATTGTGATTAATGGCGAGTTGGTCGAGCCACTTCTAATAAAATTTTTAAAAATAAATAAACAAAAGACAAAGACACTTGATCTAACAAAATCAACGCTAATAAATACTTCATCTGTCTCACATAAAATTTTTTTTTTCTTCTGATCGTTTTCATATAATTTTTTTAGTAATATAATTATACATTTTAATAACATTTAAACTTTATAATGTATAATTTTTTTAATTTAAATTATTTAATTATTTTAATATTAATATATAATTATTTTTACTAATATAATCTTTAATTATAAAATATCTAAATTTATATATCTACAATAACACGGACAATTTATTCAAGCTGGAGTGAGTATAATATTAGATTAGATAATTTTCGAACTCCCCAAAATCAGTAATTTTCAAACTCTAATATTGTAATTTTTTATGAATATAAAGTAGGTCCATTGTCCGATTTGATTTTAATATTTTAAGAAATACATCCAAATTTGATTAATAAAATTATGAGATAATATTTAATATAACTTTATTATAAATAAATGGGGCCCATAAATATTGAATTATAACTATCAAATATTAAAATTATATTTAATTGATATCGAATAAAATTAATTATTCTAAAAAAACTATAAATATAAATATCCCATAAAGTATACAATTTAATATTTCTACAACTATATATATATATATATATATATACAATGCGACTCTGACCTTGTGACAGCCTGCCTTTATTCTTCCCGGGCGGCCACCGGTTTGTAGATAAGATCATTTTTTTAAATTATTTATTTTATATATGTTGTATATAAAATTGTGTTGATAATATAAAAATTAATATTTTATATTATATATTGATTTTTTTGACTAATAGAATATATATATAAATTATTTTTGGGCAAACTATAATCATTATAAATATATATTTTTATTATTTATAAATAAAATTTGAATATAATACATCTTTTTCCATTTACAACCATCCACAAATATATATTTATTTTTTAAATTATAGAGAAAAAAAATTAATTTTAGCTCAAATATAATTAAAATTAATTAATTTTGATTTTAATATGACAAATTTTAATTAATTTTAATTTCACCGTTATCGAACTAATGAAAAAAATTTATATTTGTGACTTATAAGGTTTAAACTTGTGATTATTTGAAATAGATAAAAATAAAAATAAATAATATTTTTATAAGACTAAATGAAGTATATATATAATTTTTATTTATAACAATTTTTTTTAATTTAATTTTTAATTTATATTACAATTTAATATTATCATTATATACTATTCAGTTCACTCATAATATATATTACCTCAGTTCGACTTTAAGGTTTCATTTATTTTTTTGCGTGTTTATTTCTAAATATTAATTATTATATGAAAATGCAACACAAATTAAAGAAAAAGAAAAAAAAATATTTTTATTAGTGTTTTAGTATTATAATGACATTTGTGAAAAAAATTATATATAAAGATATTTTTAATGTTAAGTACAATCACGCAAAAGAGTTAAATAAGACTCTTAGAGCCGAAGGAGTATTTTTTTATTTTAGATTGTTCAATTAAAAAATAACAATTTAAAAAATATCTCATTTTTTTATTTACTATAATTATTATATATTCAATTACTTAAAAATATACTAAGTTGGAAATGCTACTACTCTCTCATTCCTACATAATTTTTCTGTATTTTTTATTTTCGATTATCCACTTTAATCATATTTTTTATTTTAAAATTTATAATTTTTTTAAATCTTAATTAAATTATTTACTTATTTTAATCTATAATTATTTTTACTGAATAATAACTATTTCTACTAATATATTTCTTAATTACCTATTACTTATATTTTATCTTAAATTTTCGTATCTACATAAATAAATCCAAAATATATGAGATTGAAGGAATATAATAAATGTGCCAACTATGAATATGATATCAAATTTTAAATTTTATTAATTTATTTGTATACCTATTAAAATATGTTATGTCAAAATCAACATTAAAAATATACTTGAAATGATTACATTTCTATATTAGTAAATTAATTAAATATTTATTTTGTATAATATATTTAAAATTAATTTTATATTTAAAATATTTCATTCATTTCTATTTATTCACGGTATAGAGTTACTGTAATTCAAAAATTTTAAAACTATTTCAACAAAAAAAAAAAATCCAAACCCAAACGAACACACCCTTAAGTTTATTTTGGCAAATCCCAAAAGTTCCTTCCGTTCGGGGTGGACATAGTGAATGCAACAGCTCGCCTCCAACCATGGCGGCCAGCACATCTCGATCCCCAATTTCCCCTCTCCCTTCCACAATCCGAAACCCTAAACCTATCCCCAGATGCTCATCCACCCTCAAATCGGTTTATCGCTGCTGCAGAATCTCTCTCCACGCCTGCGATGGGACCAAAAGCAGCCATCAGAAAGCCCGAGCAGTTGAGTTGCAGAAGCTCGGAAGGGAGGACGCCAAGGATTTGCCCTCAACGCTCCCGCGTATGTGCTCTTTGTTGATTTTTTCTGTATGGACTTTATATAATTCCGGTTAGAAAATTGATCGATTTTGCTATTTTCTTCATGGAAAAATGATTGATTGTTCCAGGGCCATTGACGTCTGCTCAGTTGTCAAATTTAGGCTCTGAAAGCCCTCGCCTCCGCGTTGCGTATCAGGTTTTTTGCAGATTGTCGTTTTTCTTCACTACTTTGTGCTGTGAATGTAAATACAACAATCTAATACGTAAAACAACTTAATAGGGCGTTCGAGGTGCGTACAGCGAGTCTGCAGCCGAGAAAGCGTATCGAAACTGTGAGGCAGTTCCATGCGACCAGTTTGACACGGCGTTTGAAGTGAGTTAGCGAATATCTCTCTTGATTTATTGAACTGCCACGATCAGTGCTCTAAAAGATCTTCCTCTGATGTCCAAATTAGGTTTTATTGGTAAACCTAGATTATGTGTTGGATTGAATGAAAGCTTTACGTGATCTGATTATAGCTTCTTTTTAATGAAGATGTTGATTAAATGTATAGGTTTTAACTAGCTGGTTTGCATACTGTAACTGTTTTGCTGAGGGATTGGATCATTTGCCATATGATTGATATCTGGAATTGCAATTGAACCATTTATTAGCCATCATATGTATAATCCAGTTTATTTTGATGGGGATTTATTGTTTCGATTTGGTTTTAACTTCTTGATTTGAGGTAATTTTCAAGTTCAAGTTCATCTAGAAATTACATTAGATAAATTTCTATTATTGTTCTCTGTTTATAGATTATAGAAATAGTTCGGAGTTATTAAATAGCACGGTGGCATTTTACTTATTGATATAAATGAAAGTTAAGGGGGTTAATTTTTTTGGAAAAGGTAAGGAATATTTATGGTATTAACTAGTTTGTCGAATTTTATTAAGAATTATTAATACTCAAGTTGTCTTATTGACTTATATATTTCGTTGGTAGCAAATGATTTGTCGGCAGATAAGATTAGTTCATATGAATAATGTAGCAGCATACTTTTGCATATTAAGTTGGAAGTGCCTATTAAATCCGTAATTTACCACATCTCTTTCGATATATATGAAAGTTATCTGGGTTAATTTTCTCTGAAAAGGTAAGGCCTATTTATGGTATTAACTAGTTGGTCATGTTTTGTTAAAGAACCATCAATATCAAGTTGTTTTATTGACTTATATATTTCTTTGGTAGCAAATGATTTGTCGGCATTAAGAGTAGTTCGTTTGATTACTTTTGCATAGTAAGTTGGACATGCTTATTAAATCGGTAATTTACCACATCTCTTTCTATATTAAGAGATTAACCTTCTTATTTTGTAATTGTAATCGTTAGGATTTGCAATCAAATGATGTCTCTATAATCTTATAACTATATGGACAACTAAGGATAATTAATTATCTAACTTGTCCAATTTTACCCAATCTTGGGTCCATATATTACAGGCCGTTGAAAGTTGGCTAGTGGATAGGGCTGTTTTGCCTATAGAAAATTCTTTGGGTGGCAGCATTCATAGGAATTATGACCTTCTGCTTCGACATAGGTTGCATATCGTCGGAGAAGTTAAACTAGCAATCAGACATTGCTTGCTAGCGAACCCTGGTATCAAGGTTGAAGACCTAAAGAGAGTTCTTAGCCATCCTCAGGTAATTAAATCCAGATGAAACAGTTGATTAATTTTTCGTGTATGCAGCTCACAATACTCGAACTTATGATTCTTCAGGCTCTTGCACAGTGTGAGAACACTTTAACTAAATTGGGGCTGGTTAGAGAAGCTGTGGACGACACAGCTGGTGCAGCAAAGGTAGGTATTTATTTCGATTAATATTAATTGTTAATATAATGAAGTTTCTTATTGCCTATAACAGTGACAGACTTTCTAAACAATATACTGAAGACTTGTGATTGGATTCAAGATAAAATCCGGAACACATTTTGTATCAAAATTTGGTATTTATGATGGTCCTTAAACTTCCCTTTTCAATGTACAGCATGTTGCGATGCAAAAACTTAAGGATGCTGGCGCAGTTGCCAGCTTGACAGCTGCTAAGATCTATGGTCTGGATGTTCTTGCTCAGGACATACAGGTTTTTATATGGTGTTTGTTCTTTTTCCCCTTTTTTGGCAGTTTGACGGAAAATTCTATCGAACTAAACTATTTCATCATTTTTTTCTTATATTTTTAGGATGATTCTGATAATGTTACTCGGTTCCTTATGCTGGCTAGGGAACCTATCATACCAGGCACCAATAAACCTTTCAAGGTTGGCCCTTCAAAATAAAACAGTAAAATTATAGTTAATTGCTCGAGATCGTCTACACCTCTCATTTTCTAAATCTTGTTATTACTGCATCAGACTAGTATAGTCTTCTCACTCGAGGAAGGTCCTGGAATGCTTTTTAAAGCACTTGCTGTATTTGCTATGAGGAACATCAACCTCACAAAGGTTAGCTTATCATCACTTAAAAGAGTTTGTCTAATGAGTTCCTGTCTTAATTCTAAACAGAAATTTCTTTTTCGCAATTGTAGATTGAAAGCCGTCCGCTTCAGAAGCACGCTTTGCAAGCACCCGATGAAAATTCCATTGGCTTTCCTAAGTACATTTACACCTTTCCCAACTTTGGATTAAAATTCCTTATATGTTTTACATGCCTCCCCAAGTACCATTATGTTTCGGCGCAATGCAGACAATCCTATTTTCCTTTCCTATGTTGAACTATACCTAACTGAATGCGACATTTCTGCACAGGTACTTCCCATATCTCTTCTATGTTGATTTTGAAGCATCAATGGCAGAAGAAAAAGCTCAAAATGCCCTTGGTCATCTTAGTGTATGCATTTGTCCATTCTTAGTTCCTACTTGAAGTAACTAATATTGCAGAATGACCTAATGATTCTTGTAATCTTTACAGGAGTTTGCGACATTCTTGAGGGTGCTTGGGAGTTACCCTGCAGACAGTGGTCTTCCATAAACCACCCCTAATATTTGCAAGGTACCTATTCAAACTAGAGTATAGAAAGGCTTATAGGATATGCATATCTATGGGTTACTTCTAAACTTTCTTCTCTTATAAACAATCTTAATCGAAATGGGCATAGTTATTTGGCCGTTGGACTTTGGAGAAGTATAAAAGTTTATACATGCAAACTCCACTGTCCTGCCACACTACATAAATAGGATAGAAATTGTAGGTAGAGCAGAGGTGTGTTTGTTTGGTTGCTTTGTCAAACCAAGTTAACACTATGGTACCAATATTTTTCATCTCAAACATTTTTAAAAATTTTCAAGGTGGGATGACTTATATCTCCTATTTCTATCTCTTTCTTAAATAAATAAATCTATTTATATATATATATATTCAAAACTCATTTTTATAAAATTGATTTATGTTAATTACCAACAAATATATATATATATATTTTTATTTATTTGTATTATATGTAATTTTATTATTTACAAAATGATATTGATATTGAATATACTTACAGTTTTTAAAATATTTCGGCACACATTTTAATTTTATTTGATTACATCATAACCAAACAATATCTTATTCCAAATAGTAACCAAACTTTCATCCACAATTTCAAATAATAACCAAACATACCTGAAATTGTGGAGTTCATAGGAAGATCATGATAGAACTTCTTCAATCAATTATTTATAGTGAATTGCATCTCATCCTACTGGAGAACTTTACAGATTGACATCTTTCTTTTGTGTTGACACTGCATGGATCTTTTTTTTCCCTTCTCTCACTCTTCTGCTGTGCTCTCAATGATGCAGGGTTCTCATCTGAGTATAATATATCAAACAAAAAAGAAAGGGGCGTATGGCATTGGTTGCGCAAATACAGAAACAAATGCAATATGCTAGATGAGGACAATTGTTTCGGCATTCTTCCTGAGTATCGGCCTCCTAGTGATGTTATTATTCATTCTTGTAATTATCAATCTTGCTTTAGCTTCTTTTTCTGCCCCCTTTTTCTCTCAAAAGGGTTGGAGGGTTGGCATGCAACGGGCAACTGTTGGCAGAAATACGCCGACAATCCTAGGTATGCCTTGATTTATATATCTTTCTGAAAAGTGTTAGCGAGACAAACAGTTAAAGAGTCTTTTGACAAAGGCGGGCGGTGTGTTAAAATGATCCCCGGTAATACATACATATTTATCATTGTTGAACTAACTTCTTTGTTCTTTTGATTTTGGATATTTATCATATTTAAATGGGATAATCGAAATCTTTCTTTCGGACAAAGATGTTGATTATTTATGCAATGAATGAAATGCCTTTGCCTTTCATGATGCTTCTATTATTACTCAATTATGTGAGTGTGAGTATGTTTATGATTTATATCCTTATATTGTTGAGGATGGTTATTGTGCTAAACGGGGCAAATGAGTATCTAGTGTTTTTATTTAGCACATCGTATCCGGTGTTAAATAAATGTAAATGTTGTCGGTCTATATTTGTAGATATGATGTATAAATATATTTATTGTGTTAAAATCAATGATAATGTGTATTGTATGAGATTATGTATGTGATGTCAGTTTATGTATTGTATTTATATTATATTAACATATATGTTGTGATGTTTGTCCTTATATCCTGTTGTCTATCTTTGTCTTTATATTATATATGCCGTCAATACTATGTTGTCAACATTGTGTGTGTTGTTAGTCCTTATATTATATTCGGTCAACGTTATATGTTATGTTGTCGGTATTATGTTGAATTTTATAATTCAGTACAACCAGATACCTTATTTGTTGAGGGTGATTGACCATATATTATTCTTAATGATTGTTTGACACCAAATATCTGATTGGTGATAAATTGTTATCACGTTATTTCTAGTTTTACTTTCATCGGACTGCAGTAATAGCTTGCAAGAATTGGAGTATTTTGCCATACAGTTTTAACTGTTCGAATCATATATATATATATATATATATATGTATATATGTGGGGCCTCATTTTCCAAAAGCACAAAATCTAGAAATTTTATGTTTTTTTTTTTTAAAAAAAAGAATAAATAAATTGATTGGTCTTGTATATACTAAAACTTTTATTCTATTTAATTTTATTTAAATACTAGGTTAAACATTTTTTTTATGCCATAACTAGATTCCTTATCAGTGGAGTATGTCGCAAATTAGTTCTATAAGTGAAAAATTTTTGCTGTTTTAGTCCTCCGGCGCCGGAGATGGCTGCGTGGATTTTTTTTTTTATTTTTTCATTTCTTAATTTTTTTTAAAAACTTATTTTTAATTTATTTTAAATTTTATTTGTATTTGTTTATTTTTTTATTTGGTCTAATTAAAAAAAATGAAAAAAAAATAAATCTACGTGTCCCCCAGGTGTCGCTGACCTGGCGGGACACGTCACCTCCGGCGAGCCACGCGGGCGTCTTCGGCGCCGGAGGACTAAAACAGCAAAAAAATTTTCACTTATGAGACTAGTTTGTGACAGGTTCTACCGGATTAAAATGATAAAGAAATCCAGTAGGTCCAGTTACTTAAAAAAAACAGTTTACAGACGACCATTTTGGTTTATTTAGGTAGGGAAGATTAATAAATTATTAATAATAAGTTATTTTGTTTTATATAAGTAGTATCATTGGTATTTTAAAGATATAAATTAATATATTTGATTAAAGATATTTAATATATGTGTTTAAATATTTTTAGCACTATATTTAAATTAATTTTATAAAAAATTGGAGGTTAAATATAAATAAAATATTTATTTATTTAAAGAAGAGATAAAAAATTTTAACTAGTATTTTTAAAATAATTTTATCTATTCACTATTTATGTACAACAATTCCCACTCATTTTATTAGATTTTTTTCGTTCCTTTTAACTAGTAACTAATTTTTTAAAAATATTTAATTATTTTTTTATTTTTCTACTTTTCAATAAAATATTAAATTTTTTTAACTATTTTTATTTTTTAATAAAATATTTATTATTTTTTCATTTCTATATGGGATAAATTTTCTTTTTTTTTTTTTTTTTTTATCAAATTAAAAGAGTAGTTAATTTTGAAAGAATTGTATCTCTATTTTAATTTTAAATTTAAATAATAAATAATTTATATTGAACCTTTCCTAAGACCAACTTCAACCTACACCCAAATAAGATATGTAATTTTTAAATAAAATATAAATTATGTGTATGGATTATAATGCAAAAATAATTAAAGTTGGAGTGTAATTTATAAATATGAAAAGTTATATAAGATAATATAAAAGAAGAATATATAGGAAATATACTTTTTGAGTAAAAATTGAAGTTTATGGTTGAAGTAAAAATTGTACCTTAGCAACTGCAAAAATGGAGCCACGGTTGGAGATGATCTAAAACTTGGGTAAAATTGTTCATAAGATAATTTTCTATTTTGCATGGCTAAGAGTTTCGTGCAATATTTTTGAAAATATGATACAACATCGTTCAATTTTTTAAAGTAAAGTAAAAATTTAAATTAAATTTCGAAACTATAGGGGAGTATCATACAATAAATTTACTCTAAAATTTGAAATTATATAAAAATTATAGACAATTTTATCAAAAAAAAAAAAAAACTCATTAATCTTTTATATATATATAATATTACATTAAATAATCCAATTATAAACATGGAATCAAATATACAAACCCAAAATCTACAGTGTCCACGTACAAGTGCAGTTGTTGGATCTCTATGCAATGTATATGAATCCGATATGATATGACGGACACAAACGACGTCGCAGCGCCCGTCCTTTCACCCACCCTTAATTATCCCGCCCCGTCCCTTCTCGATTTTACTGCCCGCCTGTAGATTCATTCATTCGCTCTCATTCTCACTACTGCCCCCTCCTCATCCTCCATCCGCCCCAGATTCTCTCATCATCATCTTCGTCTTCTTCTTCGTGTTGCTTGAATTCCCACCTTTTCTGTGACTGTGAAGAACCCTCGCGGCTCTGCGATCAAGGCGGTATGGTTGGGGATTTCAGGACTTTCGATGATCGCCTGCACCGTCAGTTTTTCAAGAGGGAGACTGGGGTTTCGTCTCCCAGGGTTTTCTCTCGCCGCCTCTCCGCTTCTCAGGTGCTCACGATCTCTTTCCTTTTCTTAAGTTTTTTGTGATTTTAACTGAAAATTGTGGATTATGTTTCTGCCGATTTTCTCTGTTTCGTTTGGAATTGCGGATGAAGTTCGAGTAAGTTGTTGTTTTAGAGTGGTGATGTGCGAAGCTGTGTTGATTTTGTTGTGTGGATTATGAACTTGTTTTTACCTTAATCCCCTGTCTCTCAATTCGATTCAAGTTTCGGAAACACAACTGTTGTGTGACTGGTATATATGGATGTGGATCCTTGGTAGTTTCAGACGAATTTGAAAGAATTGATGAGATTTACGAGTGTTCAACTTTTAGCGATGAGATTGGATAATTTAGTTGTTAGCTTCTTCCATGGATGTTTAGAAAGATTGAAGAGGTGAATAGGTTTTACCATCTCTGTCTTCTTCCATTATTGTGATCTCCACTTTGATTTATGTGCAAATTTTCATATCTAGTTTAGGGTTGGGTTTTATTCATGTTGATTCCATCTGACAAAGATATGTGTTCGCTTGATAAATCTTAGTTTCGTCGTTTTAAGGTGTTTGACGACACATTGATCATTAGAAAATATATGCATAGGATTATCCATTTGGATATGATAAACGAAAGAGATGATCGGCACATCAACAATCCTTAATCCATAAATTGATGCATATTTTAAGTTAGCTTAAGTGAGAGAACACAACAAAAAACCCTTACCACTAACTCGATACTTATCCAATGTTACCTGAAGATGCTTTTCTTTCACTTCCCTTGATTGCAAATTTAATAAATCTCTGTCTATTTTGTTGCTTCTTGATACGCAAGAATGTCGTCTGTATAATACTGCACTTCCATTTGTGTTTCCATGAATTATTTGTGGTTATGGTTGTAGTTATGGCTATGGCTGTTGCAGAGCATGCTGGCAATGTATTATTTCTAAATGGCGCGAGAATAATGTACCTGTAATTCAATCTCAGGCTTGAAATTTCTGTTAAATGATCGTAACGGTCTATCTGAAAACATACATCACTTTACTCGAGTCAGCTTATAAATGCCAAAGGAATCTGAGCTTATAGAATTGGAATTTTCTTATTGATAATTTTAGAAACTAAATTTCTTTTGTTAAAAATTAATATCTAGTCCTCCACGTGTATCACCGGGGGAGAAAAACTGTATATATGTATTTTCACGTGCGCCACGTGGCCCAAAAGACAATATGTTTTTAGAACAAGTTCTCATTATATTAATTTAGCCAAATTAGCATAATTTACTCACTATTTATATACTAGATTTGTCAAAATGCGACGTGTTCTCTATTTTCTTACAGCTGCCTTGGGGTTCCTTTAATTTCTCGAGTTTTTGGTGTTAAGTGTTTGGGGTTTTTCAATGCTCGGTGTCTTCTTGAATCATGCTAGTAATCATCTTTTCTTGCTTGTTGCAGACCCTGATCAAACAGATTGATTCGTATGGGGAACTCTCTGGCCACCGTGGTTGTGTTAATGCAATCGAGTTTAATTCTACTGGGGAGCTTCTTATTTCCGGCTCTGATGATAAGCAAGTAAAGCTCTGGGACTGGGCAAGACAGAAACTTAAATTATCTTATTCGTCGGGTCATGTTGACAACATATTCCAGACCAGATTCATGCCATTTACCGATGATCGCGTGATAGTAACTTCTTCTGCTGATTGCCAGGTAATTTGGCATATGAGACCTTACAAGTTACAGCTCTTGAATATATTCTGATAGTCATTTTTCAGAAATAACAATTGATTTTCTAACATGAAACCTACAAACTGCTGTATAATATCCATATGTGTTTTTATCATAAATGCATATATACTCTATGTTTTATTTATTACGTCAAATTCTTTTGTATTATATCAAACTATGCATAAAATATTATTCTCTTCGTTCAAAGCTGACGCTCCTAATTATGAAGTATTGTGCAAAACACAGATGGGTATTATGCATTTATGATAAAAATGGGATATTCTATGCATTTATAATAAAACACGGCTAGGTATTATGCAATTTACCATTTTCTTTTCTTCGGACATGTCTAAAACATTCTAACGACTTTCTAAGAAATTAAATTCCTTTCTTAAACTAGGGGTGAAGGACAACAATATTCTATTTAACCCTGTCGACAGTTTTGTCTCAATCTTTTCTACTGTCCGGGCAACGAAGATCTGTTCTTAATATTTAATTGTCTTTCGACTTCAGGTTAGGCTCAGCCTGCTGGCGGAAAATGGTTCAGTCGAAACAAAGCGATTGTCCAAGCACCAAGGCCGTGTCCACAAGCTTGCTGTCGAACCCGGCAGCCCTCACGTGTTCTACAGCTGCGGCGAAGATGGTTTTATCCAACACGTAGGCACTTTTTACCGCTTAGGTTAATTCCCAAATTTCTTAACCATCCCTAATTATCTCTTTACTCTTGCGTCCTTTTGCAGTATGATCTTCGTAGCAATTCTGCGACCAAGCTTTTCTACTGCTCGTCAAATTCTGGACAGAGGTGGCCTACAAGTAGTGTCGGACTAAACTCCATTGCAATCGACCCGAGAAATCCTAATCTCTTTGCTGCAGGCGGCGCCGATAGGTTTGCTCGCGTTTACGACATAAGGAATTACCAAATCAACGCGTCCTCTAAATCAGGAAACCTGGTGGAATCTTTTTGCCCTCGCCAAATCTCCGGGACACCCGACACCGAAAAGCACATTACAGCGTTAACTTACTCCAACAGCAGCGAGCTTCTTGTCTCGTACAACGAAGAGCTCATATATTTGTTTCCAAGGAAATCTCGACGTGGATCTAATCTCGAATCTTCGCCGACCAACGACACGGACTCGGACGTGTCGGAGACCGATCCGCAAGTTTATTCGGGTCACCGAAACGCGCGAACCGTCAAGGGGGTTAGTTTCTTCGGCCCGAATGACGAATACGTCCTGAGTGGCTCCGACTGCGGGCATATTTTCATCTGGAAGAAAAACAGCGGCGAACTCGTCCGTATGATGGTCGGCGACAGGCATATCGTCAATCAGATCGAGTCGCATCCGACGATCCCGATCCTCGCCTCTTGCGGGATCGAGAAAACGATAAAGCTCTGGAGCCCAAGTTCGGATACCGTCAATCCTCTGCCGGAAAATGTCGAGGAGATTATGGAAGATAATAAGCTCAATATGGATGACCATTCGAGACTGCCGCTAACTCCTGATGTGATAATGCATGTCTTGCAGCTGCACAGGCGGCAAGCGCGGGTGTACATCGAAAGAAGGCACGGCAATGAGAGCGACGAGGACGGCGACGATGACGATGACGGCGGGGAGGCTTATTTGCTGGGTTTCTCTGATGGCGATCCTTTGGATGAGGGAGGGAACTCCAGAGATTGCACCATTAGCTAGAGGTATGTAGCTATTTAAGTAAAAGTTTCTTTCTACATACAGAGAAAATAATTTTTTTTTTTGTACAATCCGATCTTGCGAAGGTAAAAGTCAGATTTGGTAGTTGATGTCGTCTACTGTATAATTAATTGCCCTATCCATTTCTGAGCTTAAGAAGGAGATTTTTTATATAATATTTTGTGGTCATTATGGTCATTCAATTAAATTAGCATGTATATACTCAAAATAGACAGTACATGGTTTATATAGTATATCTGCTGCTTTATAGTTTATATGTTATACTGTACTCTATATATATATATATATATTTATTGGATTGAAAATTAATAATATATTGTGTTGTATATTGTATTATAATGAATTGTAATTTATGCCAAATCAGATGTCATGTAAGTATTTTGGATTTATAAAAAAATAAAAAAATTTGATGGTTTTCTATCTCTGAGGTATCTCCACTTGTGGAAATGCCCAAGTCAATGCCATGGAGGAATTTTGGATTTTTAAAAATATAAAATTTTTTATGATTTTTACCTTTTGTTTTATTTAAGTTTTATAATATTTATAATTATATTTATATTTTAATTATTTTTATATTTTGGTATTATATAAAATTTTATTCTATATTTATATTTTTTTTTAAAAAAAAATTAATTTAAAAAATAATTAATTCTAATTTAAATATATATATATATATTTTTGTTGAATTAAAGAGAGAAAGTATATAGAGACATTTTAGATGAGCATCTTTGTTGAATTAAATATATATATATATATATATATACCTTTGATCATCTACTTGCGTTGATGCATACTAACTATAATTCTAAAATTATAAAAATATGTGTACGTTTATAATCACCTACCTACGAGTTAAGACATTTTTGTTAAATCAACTTATTTGGTCAAATCAATATATATATATATATATATTATAAGGATGACATTTTTGTTAAATTAACTGATTTGATCGAATCAATATATATTATAAAAATGACTAACATATTTTAATATATTTATAATAAATATAATATTTTTTATATATTTCAAATAAAACATCAATCAACCCCATCATCCGCTGCTTTTATTACAGGTGGCGGCGCCGCCTCCGCTGCCGCCGCCGATTCGTCGATATTTTGGTACTCGTAAAGCGACGCACATACAAGAAAATACACAAAATTGAGGCCTCCTAGTACACAACAAAGCCAATACACATAATCCAACCTCCCCTCATTAATGTCGTCCGGCAGCCATCCCGTCGCCTTTCCGACCAAATCGATCACACCGTTGCTCATATAAAACGCGATTCCGATGAACATCGCCACCGCCGCCGTCGCCGTGCTCTTCATCGACTCTGGAAACTCCTGATAGTACAAAGCAATCTGCGCCGGAAAATGCAGCGCCTCGCCGGCGCCGGCGGCCGCCAGCTGAGGCACCAACCACATCGCCGACATCGGAACAACAGCACCGCCGCCGCCGACGCCGGATTTATTTCCGGCGGCGGCGCTCTGCAGTCGCTTCGATTCGACAATTGCTGAAATCGCCATGCTGATTATAGTGAAGGCGTGTCCGACTCCGACGCGCCGGAGGAGGGATGGCGGCTGCCCGCGGCGGCGCGTGGGGAGTTTGGACCAAAACGGAAATAAAAACCGGTCGAGGACTAGAATGGTAAAGGAAGTGGATATTAAGATGAAGACGGGCATAGAGCCTGACGGAACTTTGAAGTGCGACGTTAGTTGACGGTCCATGGTCAGCGCCTGGATGATGGATAAGCTGAGCTGGATGGCTAACGGCGTGCAGAGGAGGAGACCCGTTGACCATAAAGGTACCAGTTTGATGACCCTTTTCAGATCCTCAACTTCTCTCACTGTGCACCACTTTGACTTTTTCGTTGACTTTGACTTTTCTGTCGCGGACCCGCAGTCAGTGTCAACTTCTTCGGTTCTCAACGCCGCGCGGTTTAGAAAGCTGGATGTTTCATGTTCGCGAATGTTAGAAATTGTATTTTATGAATAATGAAATGATATGATTCTATAGATTCAAATAATAACAATTTAATTTAATTTAATTTAATTTAATTTAATTGATTTAATCAAATAATAACTACTTATAATATAAATCTAATTTAGATCAAAATTAAATATTTTAAAAAATAATTTGTCCGGCGTTCACCATCCCAAATATATATAATTAAGGGATATATATTGTCTCGTAAGGAATAACTTGGTGGTGTAGGGGTTGGACTTTCTCGATTTACCGAATTTCCAAGTTATATACATGTATTTTTAGTTTTCATATATACATAATATTTTTATCATTTTAATAATTTAATTAAAATATATTTTTAAATATTATAAATTAGATATATATATATATATTATATATTAGGTATATGACTGTTTCTATATTTAAAAGACGAAAGTAACTAAGACTAATCAAGATTAAATTAAATATCAATTAATATAAATTTAATTTATATATTTTTTACTTGAAAGAATAATATAATAAATATTTAAAATGTTCCCAATAGCATAACAAATCAAATTACTGATGGATGAATTTCTTACTAGCATAAATAATAAAAATTGCAAATTTCATGAACAAATATCATGACAGGAGATTTGCAGATAATAAAAAGTTGAGTATTTTATATGAAATTTTAAAGATAATATAAATATTTGATGATAGATTAATAAATAGTAATCAAACTTTCAAAAGTATGTGTGTTTGTTTCAGGGTTTGCGATTTTTAAATAGTAAAAAGTTGATTTTGAATAGTTATTTGATGTAATATAAATAGCTGTTGATGTGATATTTGAATGTAAAAAAAAAAATTTAATTTTTAAGTGTAATATAAAAAATAAAAAATAATTATTTGATATAATATTTTTGGAAGAAAAAAAAAAAAAAAAAAAACTGAATAGTAAAAATTTATAAAAAAAATTCACAAAAGAAGCTAACCTGAAAAATGGGGTTGGATTTGAAGCATAATTTTCTTCATGGTAATAATCTTCACTTTTTGGTGACAGAATCATTCGTCTTCTCCGAACAGCAACAACGATAACACGCGCTAAGCTCGTGTAAGGACTCCCACGTGGCGTGACGAGGGAATAAAAGCGAATTCCAGACAAGAAAACGGCTAGTCCGAGAATGTTGGCCGCGGCGCAAAGGCTAAAGCCTAATGTCCAGCTGGCATTGTCCTCGACATACACTATTCCGGTCGAGCTTATGACCGTGGCGACGTACATAGTGAATATGTACCAATTGAAGAAAATCCCTTGACTCTTTTGCGCGGCGAATTGATCCGCGCCAATTGTTGCAATAGTGAAACGAGTCCCGGCTGTCCCCAAAGATGCGAGACTTAATCCGAAATACAAAACGGCGTATTGAAGCCCTGTCGGTTGTATGCATAAATTTGATCTTATAGTCTCGCATGTCGGAGGTTGTAATTTTTTAACAGCAGCTGTCAGCACCATAACCACCACGCCCTTGAGGTAATAAAAAATCCGTGCTTAAATTGTTAGATGCATTTGGTAAAAGTGACTATGTTAGATAATATTTATTTTATTCGATATAATTATTTGAATCTACAAAAAATGAATTATTCTGGTAGAAGAGCCAAGAACAACAAAGAAGCACAAGTTAAAATATTGACATTTTTTTTTATATAATATTATTAGCACTTGTTTGGTTGGTGAGATTAATTTATCTAAAATAATACTTATGTTAAAAGTCTATTTTACTCTTTAACGATAACAAATTTAACATTAATAATATCATATAGTTAAAAACATTCAAGATAGAATTGAATTGAAAAAAAATAAATAAAAGAAAAGTTATTAAAGTAAAATTTAAATTATTTTATTTTATAATTATATAATTCATTAAAATATCATAATTATTATCTTATTCAACAATATGAATCGAACTATAAATTTAAAAAAATAAAAATAGAACAATGAATTTAATAATCTACCAGAAGCGAAAGGATCGACGAAAACCAAATGACGGAGAAGCAACCAAAGAAAGAGTCGGCGACGACGGCTCCGACAATAGGCAACATGGTAACACTACCATTCACAAAATTGAAAATCTTGGCAGCACTTATGCTCTTCATGTTGAATTCTTGAATTAGATACACAATGAGGTTGTTGATCCATCCCCCGGCCGAAAGCGTCAGAAAAGCCATCGTCCCTGACAATATTTTTCGCGCAAAAAAAATCCTGTCCCGTGTAAGAAATTTCATGTTTTCATCGACATCCAAATTACTAATCAACCATCAATTAAAAGTACAAAAAAAAAAAAAAAAAGACCAACCTATGATGAAGGGGAAAGTGATCCAACCTCCCTGGCGGCGGCGGCGGTCCGACGGCGGCGGCGCTTCTGTGTCCATGGTGGTTGGCACTGAATTTTTTTCTATGATGTTTTTGATTGATTAATTCAATTATATGACATTGATGATTGTTTTGAAGCTTCTTAATGTTGAGGCAATTTGATGAAGGAAGTCTTGGTAGTGTACTAACTAATATGTTTATTTATTAATTTTTAATAAATTAATATATACTTCTTGGAAGGATATGATTGCAATTTATTATTATTATTATTATTATTATTATTATTATTATTTTGTTTAGAAAAATTCAACTTGTGTGGATAATACTTGTTTTCTTACAATGAGTTTTGTCCATTTATTGGTTTTTCAAATGTGATGGACCATCCTAATTATTGGAGTGAAGGTCAAAAGAAAGCGTTTGGTTGCACGCTGAGATGTGGTTGAGAATTCAAATAATGTTTAAAATCATATAAAAAAAATATATATTTATTCTGTTCACTCGATATTTTTTTAATAATTTTTTTTTTCATAAATATTATTTTAAAAAATACAAATGTATACATATTAATATAGTAAATATATTATTCACGTATAAAATTAATTATATAACATAAAATATTATTTTTTATATTATTCACGTATAAAATTAATTATATAACATAAAATATTATTTTTTATATTATTAATGTAGTTCTCTCATACTATATTAAAAAAAATCTGTGAGTGAACGACTGATTGTTTAATTACATATCATGTATATTTTTAAATTTGTATAAACTAATTTTAAATATATTTATTTACTTTGAAATTTTTAAAAATCCTATAAATTATTATCTATAAAAAATATTTAATTATAATTTAAAATTAATTTGAAATAAATTGTTAAATTTATTTTTTATTTAAATAACAATTTTGATTCGATATTTTATAAATACATATATAATAAATAATACTCTTTCCGTCTCTCAAAAGTATAGTCTTGTTGGATTGGATACGAGATTTAAAAAATATTGATATTATATTGGTAGTTGATAAAAGTAAGGATAAATGACTTTTTTGTTCTTGTGAGTATATTAGTGTAAAAAGTAGTGGCAATTGTGTAATAATAATGAAAAATAAAAATAATTTTACGATGATATTATTATTTATGAAAATGAGACTATTATTTTAGAACGGAAAAAAAATATAAACAAAATTATTGTATTTGCCAGATAAAATATTAATTAAATTTAAATTTTAGAATATAGAACCCCGTAAATACAACCTAGAGTCATCAGTACACATCAAAGAAATCCCGTGATGATTGTTGGCGTGTAGTCATCCACACAAGAAACAATTTATTGTTAAATTATTATTATTATTTTTTTAATATTGGATCCACATGTTTTCAAAATGATGCAGCTGCTGTCGCTTTTCGTTCTTTTATTATTATTACTCCCTCCGTCCCGTATCTGCTACACTGTAGGTACGGTATTTTAGAAGGGATATAATTAGTAGATAATTAAGAATATATTAGTAAAAATAACTATCCTATAATATAAATAATTATAAATTAAAATTAAGATAACTAATTAATTTAATTAAAATTAAAAAAAATAAAATTAAAAAATTTAAAATGAAATTAAAGTGTGTAATCATTTTCCAAAAAAAGAAAGTGACATGGTATGTGGGAAGGACAGAAACGGCAACGTGGACATTGTATTTGGGACGGAGGGAGTATTATATTCTTCCGTTTCTTTCTTATTTGAGATTTTGTACTAAATAGAAAATAAGGTAATATTTTACTCTCTCCGTCCCACCGAAATTGAATCATTTGATTAGGAACACGGTATTTAAAATAAAATATTTAATTAGTTAATAATAATAATTAGTTATGATATTAATTTTATATAATTAATAATATTTATAGTTTGAAAGTAAATTTAATATATATGATTAAAAAAATCAAAATATATGTTTAAATATTTAAAATTTATATAGCAATTAAAAAATATATGTAATATGAATATCATTTTGTAGAGAATAAAATTTTCTATAATACAAGTAAATAAAAAAATATTTTTGTTTATTTATAATTAACATAAATCAATTTTATAAAAGATGTAAGTTTTAAATATAGATAGAAATATTTACTTTTTTAGGAGAGAAATAGAACTAAAAAGGTTTTGAATGGGTCCTACGTCATAAATTTATGATGTTATATGTTACGTAGTTAATTAAGTTAATTTATATTTATTAAATATGTTTAGATTTAAATTTTTTTACCAAATATAGAAATGTGTCAATTGTTACGGAACAAACAAAAATAAAAATAGTGTCAATTGTTGTGAGACGGAGGGAATATTAATTTATAAAAGTGTGTCATATTATTTTAATATTTATATATTTTTATTCTATATATAAATTAACTATATATTTAATAATATATTTATAATTTATATAAAAATTATATTATATTTTAATAATAGTGTGTGATTTTTTTTATAATAAAATATAAATATTTTTTGAGTGAGAAATAATAAATGATGAAAAAAGATAATTATAAAATAATCACACGTATTTTTGAGTGAGAAACAATTAACAATTTATTACAAAACATATAATATAGCATATTAATATGAAACAACTAGTATTTTTAAGAATTTGTTTGATTGCAAAATTATGGAATTCCAATATATAAAAAGATATAATTAAATGTTAATATAGAATTAAAGAATAGTTAAATATAAAAATTAAATAAATAAAAGTACTATAATTTTAAACAATAGGTAAATGTAAAAATTAAAATAAATACAGAAAAATATTAATATAAGTATTACAAAATATAAGTACTACAAATTAATATAAATATATCATTATTTTTTATTAGTATTTATTTTTTTAGAAATATTAAATCATTTTTTTAATGTTATATTCCTTCAATTTAAAGTAAAGTACTTATTTATTGTTTTGCACGTGTACATGTGTAGTTTATAAGAGTTTTTTAAAACTATGTAAGAAAAATATAATTATTGAAAAAAAAAAACAAATATATTGATTTTAAACAAATCAAATTGAAACAATATAGATACATTAATTTTTAATAAAATAAGTATTAAAAATTAATTTTATATTCAATATATTATATTACTTTATATCAAATTAAATAATTATTTAAATTTAAAATATTTATTATTTAAAACTTAAATTAAAAATGCATACTGGAACCGAACCCTGAACATTATTATTATTTTTATTATTATTTATTTTTCTAATGTTAAATAAATGAAAGAAGACCCGTCGTTATAAGGGTAGGAATAATTGGGGTACTTATATACCACATAAATAATGTGACTAATTATTGCCCATATATATTATTCTCTCCGTCTCATGTAATATGGATGTATTAGTGTAAACACGGGAGTTTAGGTAAAATATAATTAGTAAGTAATTAAAAAAATGTATTTGTAAAAATAATTATATATTAAAATTAAGATAAGTAAATAGTTTAAAAGTACATAATTATATTTCCAAAAATAGAAATGATAAGTTATGTGGGACGGACGAAAATAGAAAATAAGGACAAATTATGTGGGACGGAGGGAGTACTCGCTCCATCCCGGATATTTTGTCCGCGTTACCGTAGACACGAGAATTTAAGAGAGCTATAATTAATAATGTATTAGTTAGAATAATTATCGTATAATACAAATAATTATAGATTAAGATTAAGATAATTGATTAGTATAATTAAAATTAAAAAAGTTATAAATTAAATTTTTAAAAATAAGATTAAAGTGTATAATTATTTTTTAAAAAAAGTGACAAAATAAGTAAGACGGACGGAAATAAAAAGATGGACATAAAAAGTGGGACAGAGGGAGTAGTTTTTGGTTAAATGAATCATTTACACAAATAATAATAGGACAATAATTTTTTCAAATTTTGCAATTTTTCATAGATGAACATTGAATAATAATTATCTATTAATTGGTTGTACTCAATTTTTATTGAATGGTCACTTTAAATGATCATATGCTTGCTTACAAGAAAGATACTGTATATTCTTCGTATATAAAAGTAATGATATTTGTGTAATATATTTTAAATTAAAAGTGTATTTATTATGTTAAGTAGGTAGTACAATTACTAAATTAGGAAATGGTAACCTTGTTTTGGGACGGACGAAAATAAAAAATGGTAACCTTTCAATGGAACAGAGGAAATATATAGATAGCTAAAAATACTTTTTCTTTTCTTTTCTTTTCTTTTTTTTCATTTAAATTCAAATTCAATTCCTAAATTATTCTTTTTACCACCCCCAATGTCTGCGGGTCACAATTATATTCAGCACTGTATCGAAAATTATCATATTATCGCTAACCCCTAAAGCATGGATCGTCGCTGTTGTCGAAGCAGGTATTGGGTCCGTACGCCGATATCCAGTGACGGAACCAGCACTAAAAATTTGGAGGGACAAAAATATCGATTTTTTTATCATTTTTTTTTTAATTCATAGCACATCCGAGCAAAAAAAAAATAAAAATAAAAATAAAAGTTTAAAAAAAAATCAACAAAATTACATAAAATTCAATATTTTTATTATAAAAAAATAAAACTTAAAGGCTAGAAATATAAATTAACAAACAGATAAAATTTTTATAATTTTTTACATTATTAAATAAAAAAAATATGAGGAGCAAATTACTAAAAAAATATATATTTTACTATTATTTACACTAAAAAATACATATATTTTGAGGACTGGGGTTTGACCCTAAACCCCCTAGCCCCCGTATAGATCCGCCCCTGCCGATATCGACGACAATGTATTCCAAACTAACAACATACTAGTCCTTTTCATCGTCGCCGTCTGCTCCGTCTTCATAATCTCCACAACCGCTGGCACCTTTAGATTTCGGTCCATTATTTCCCGCCGGAACGATCGCGGCGCAGAGGACTCGAACTCGCAGATATCAAGTATATGCCTGTCGTATTGTACGGAAACCTCTCTCCCGGCGGCGGCAAATTCCATGAAGCAGAATGTTGTATATGTCTCGGAGTATTTTCGGCTACAGAGAAGGTAAAAGTGCTTCGGCCTTTGCCTTGCAAACATTGCATTAACTTAGAGTGTTTGGACAAGTGGTTAATAAATCAGTCGAGTTGCCTGTTGGGTCGTGCAGCTCTCTCAGTTGACTCACC